TTATTTTTGATCTTATATATAAAAAAAATTAGCTATTTAATATTTTTTAATAATATCATAGGTCAAAACTCAGGAAAAACTCTATTTAGGAGCATTAACAATTACCAAACGCTCTGCTTAATGTTTTGTCTACCAATCAAGTATTAATGATAAAGAGAATGATACCTAGGTCTGTGTCGTAATCTTTTTCTAAAACTTGATCTTCCCATTTTTTCCATTGCATTATCTATGCAAATAACGTTATGTTATATGATCATTAAATTAAACATAATAAAAAAAGCTTGTTATGTTAATATAAATTGGTAATGGAATTTAGTGCTTTTTAGAGTTAAGTTTCTAAGGTGCTTAATTAGAGATAAAAAGGTATTATAATTGCCGTACATAAGTTAAATACCTTCACGGTTCCAAAAAGAATGGTCAAGAGGCAGAAAATAATGTGAGCAACAGCTAATACGAAGATGAATATATGAAGCTCGTGCAAAGCTGATACTGACATTATCGGAACCTTTCCCTGAATTTAGAAACATTGTCAAAAAACAAAAAACAAAAAATTAGTTGCGTAATATTATATATACTAATAATGAATAATATGTTAATTGCTGCATGCATGTCTTCATATCCAATAATCATGCATCTTTGAGAGAATGTAACAAAAAAGAGATTATTGTTGAGTTTGACCCATAGAATGAATTAATTAAAAGGTTATACCTTTAGGGAGCAGTAGTCGCCGGCGGGGGAATCTCCGGCGAGGAGATGACGTCCGGTGAAGCTGAATTGGAAATGGGAAGAGTCTTTGGGGGATTTATCTTCCGTTGGTTTCTTACATGGAAGAAACTTTTCACTTAAGCTCTTTGATATGCAAATCTTTGCTAATTTAGACTGGCTTACTGATAGTAGCAACGATATGAACCCTAACAGCATAAGTTCTGCGTTTGGCAATTCGATCCAGTTTCAAGAACTTGTTAGAATCGTTATGAGTTTTAGGCTTTTTCTCAATTGTATGGACCAAAAAAGGCATTATATCAACAGCCCAAAAGACTTATTGTTTGTTTTAATTGTTCTCTTTTACCTCTCGGTTACGTTTTTTTTTTCTTACTTACATTTTCTCTTAAAATTTTTTTGATATGACTCATATGACTGGCCCAATTTTAAATTTTGTTTATGGCCCCAATTTTTTCAGGGCCGGCCCTGGATATAAGATTTTTTTTTATATATAAAGAACTAGATTATAAAGAACTTTTACTCTCTCCCTTGTTTAGATTTATGATAATTTTGATGTACTTTAATATTTTATTTACAATTTATGTTGCATATATATTTTTTTGAGAAATTTCAAAAAATGCCATTTTTYWWWTKYTWTTTTACAAAAATGCCACATTTTTTAAATTTTTACAAAAATGCCATTTTTTTAAATTTATTTTTTCTTTATATTATTTATGTTTGGGTTAATTATGTTCTATTAGGGTTTAATTTTGAGTGTTTAGGGGGTTTTACGTGTCAAAACATTTTTTAAGGTTTAGAATTTTAAGATATAGACTTTATAAATC